TGCTCGTCGAACCCGAAGAATGCGTTTTTTGACGTGTCGAGAGGTGAATCGGAGGTCGACCCGGCTGGTCTCGGGTCCCGGTTTGTCTTTCGGACTGCGCGACTCATACAAGTGGGAAGACAATGATCGATGCGTTTCTCGTATGGGAAGTAATTAAGATAGTCAGAAAATGATGGATTAAAAAGCAACATGTGTCCATGTGTCAGATAATTTTTATCTCTTGGATACGTGAATCTTTTGGTAGACTTTAAGAGTTGAAGTTTATAATATATATTTACATGATATACACATATATATACATTTACAAGATACATAAAAATATTTCTGATTATTATTCTCACTAATTTCTCCAGCAGAATAAATAAATCTTAGAGTGCCTTCACTCAGACTGAATTTTATGTCAATATTGCATCAATATTTTTCATCTCATGATTTCTTCGATTGCTACACGTTAAACAGATTAGCTGGAGTACAGTAGTAAGCAAATACGTGCATTTGTCGTCGTAGTCGGTGTGACATGCAGAGATACGGTAAATGCGCGCGTGGAAGGAATGGAAGGGTCTACACGATGTACCCCCCATGGTCGGTCCCGATGCTTATACACGCGAAAAATTTGCAACCGAGACAATGGGTGACGTTGGGCGTCCCGTCTACGCGAAACACGACTGGCACGAGTTGTGTTCTGGCGCCAATCGAAAGGGGTTGGGAATAAACGGAGAACGGAGGAGATGGGAAAGGCACGCGGGCGCTCCATTCAAAATTGAAATATAACCGCGCAGCCAAATATGTATAAGGGCCACAGTGAAATTTATATTCTAGTGAGTATACGCGTGCACACACGCGCCCATAAGTATGCTGCGCTTAAGTGCACGCCAAATGCAGTCGGGAGATTGCGACGACGACGCCGAGCAAGAAACGAGGCCCAAAGCCCTGATGAAGCAAGAAACTGTTGCGAGCGAGACTAACGTGGGATAATGCACGCGCGGATAGACGAGTGATGGACTCAGAAAAATCATAAACTACATTTTTTTTTATAGGCTACAATCGCAAGCATAACGGGTATCTCAATTTACGAGAGTAATTTAACGTTGAAATAAAACAGCAAAGACTACTGGTCATATATACTGGTTCTTTCTTGTTAAATTAACCAATATTTATCATAAAAAATGATCTTTGCATTATACATGATAAATGTTCATGATAATTTGTAGTATAAAAAATTTATAGTAAAATAAGAAATGTAAAGTTTGATAGCAATTGAAATAACTAAAGTACACATAATTATTATTCTCCTTCACTAAATCATATTAATGCTTTTTCGATCAAAAGTCTATTATAATAAGTGATTAAAATATGATAATTGATTATAAATATTATATATATAATAAATATTATATATAATATTTATAAATGTAATAATTAATTTAAAAAAATAAAAATATATAGTAAAGTACATATATGATAAATAATGTTAAATATATTTAATATTTTATCATTCAAAAAGTCATCCAAATAATTATGATCTAATCAATTTCAACAAGTAAATCTAAGATTGCAATCAAATTGCGGAGAAATCGTGCAACATCATCTGATCAATTGATCCACGTCGATCTAATTCAGAACATTTTCTCCTTGAGAAGTTCGACAAAAGAATACGTTCATACTAAAGAAGCTTGAAGGCTTATATTTCAATTGTCGAATTGGTGGTCGTGTAAGGAGTTGAACGGAAAGCCGTATCGATTGATAGCGATCGACTATCGATCGATCTTCTCTAGATCGTCCATCAGATAAGCTGCAGTACCCAAGTAATCCAGGCACGACAGAGGTAGGTACCAGCAGCGGTGATTTAACGCAAAGATCGATGGTCGATTGCATTCTCGATGGCGTCGAGAGGGCCTCTAAATCACGCTCATCGAGATTTAGCATACGCAAGGACTCTTTGCTACCGTTCGAGTTGTCGTACAATGGCGTTTGTTTTCCGAAAAGAGAAATGAGCGCATAAGCACGAATAGCATACATTTAATAAAAAATCACATTTATCCGGATTTATTAAAAGATTCTTAAAAATAAAAGATTTATGAAAGATTTCACAAAAGCAAATTCTGTTCATTTTTTTTTTATAATCAAATTTTTTTTATAATTTTGGTACAATTAAAAAAATTTTTTAAATAGATTTTAGCATTTTATATACATATATATATATATATATATATATA